TATCCAATAGAAAGCCATTACTAAGCACAATTAGCTCGAACAGGTTTATCAGGGCGATCACCAGATCAATCTTTGCAACATGGATACATAATACAAATTGATACCGTAGGTCGTTATATGTATATAACTATGAAATTTTCAACTATCATTAAAAAATCTCTCTAGTCAATGGAGTTCTGCTCTGGTATTATTATGATGAATGCTCTCATAAGTCTCTTTCCTTCTGCTCTTTAATGTTAATCCCAGAAACACATGCTCATTACAGCTATTATTTTTTACTTCCCACGTCTACTAGCGAGAAAGTATTGCAATCACGAAAAATTGCGAAAATTATTTGACATTTACATCACGAAAAACCGTGTCACTCATTTCCGTCGGTTTGTCTGTCAGTTTGGTTCGGTCCGCTAATCCTGGGCTCGTCTATAACTTGGAAAGCACAAGTCGGTAGCTAAGCCAGTCGACATAAATAACCCTTATATTAACCCATACATCTTGAAAATAAAGCAGTTCCTCCATAAACTAAATGCCAAAAACAACAAAATAAAGTTGGTATGGGTAAAAGCCCACGTCGGAATTAAGCTCAATGAGAGGGTTGATAGATTGGCTAGGGAAAGCATTACTTCTGGAGAAATCTTGGACCACCTTCTTCCCATAGATGAATATATTCATTTGCAAAAAAAAAACAAACGAGAACTGATTGGGAAACAATATGGGAGAAATATAAAAATTCAAGAATAAATAGATATGTATTAATACAACCCGAAATCCCTAGATACACCTGGTTTAGTAATTACAAATACAACAGAAAAACCTTAACGACACTGATAAGGATCAGATTTGGACACGCATGTTACCCAGAGCATCTAAATCGGATTGGCATACTGGACACTGACCTATGCACAAGATGTAATGAAATTGGAAATCTCGACCACCTATTCTTCGGTTGTCAGAACAATAGGAATCAATCTCTGCGACTAATAAACAGAGTAATAGACTTAAAGGTACTGACTCCTTTTAGCCTCACACATTTATTATGCTTAAATAGAAAGGAGATCTACGACAGCCTGGCTGAATTTATCCATTCAATCAATGTAAACCTATAATCACCTCACATACCCTTGTTGCCTCCCTATTTGTTATATCCCTCCTCTTACCGTGGTCTACCTGTGCACGTGTAAGAAGTCGCCCTGACCGACCCCTGAGGCGTGAAGAAGTGTCCTCTGTGAAGATCCCTAGCATTATCCCTCTATAACAGTAGACATCCAGTTTGGAAACACATGAATCCAAAATCAAACCGATGATCCATCATTCATATAATGCTTATTGACTGGCTGCATGAACACCTAGTTCTAATGCCAAAAAAAAAAAAGTACAAGTCGGATTATAATGAAACTTTCACACAAGGTAAGCTTTGTAGCTGTTGAAAATCGATCCATTGGCGGTGAAGAAAAAACCAAAGCATAACAATTGCTCAACTTGTTTTTTGACGTTACAGAGGATCCTGATCTTTTTGGAAAAATTTTGAGTAATACAAAATTGTGGGGCGACTATTGACATATTTCACACATCATAGATTGCTGCGTCCGCGGCCAGCGTGATGGCGGTGTTCGTATAGATATGTTCTGTATCACTGGCGCTCTGCCTGATGAACGGTACTACGCGTAGAGCAGATAAAAAAATGTTACCAACTAATTCTACGTACCTGTTTGACGAACTTCACCCGTTTAATTTCTCTATATACTAACTTCATTCTAAAAGGGTTCAACTTAAACATGCTACTTTCGTCTGTCCAACTAAAGATAGCTAACCACAGGTAGCTGTTTCGTGCTTTTTTGGAAACTCATCAGCATGGTCTAGGGTTGGTCTCCCGGATAGCGAGCGAAAGCATAGCAAGTATCCTCTATCCAGGTTATAAGATCCATGGCGCTGCCTTATTTCGATAGTGTCTAGCTTGTGCAGAACATGAACTGATGACGGCGTTCCATGCGAAGTTTCGAGTCAACCTACCTGACCGAATTTTTTTCCATCAATAACTGGGCCATATTGATACCTCATTTACTCAGTGTCAGAACAAACATGAGCATTCGGTGGCCGATTCTATTCACTTGTCACTGTCTGCCCAAGCTTTTGTGACCCGCTGACCAAAAGGAACACACGAGTTCGAATGTCGCGCGCTGATGTTTGTCTCGGCAGGAAATAAATGGGAGTTTAACACACTGTATACAGGGTGATCCACAAGTCGTGACCAAAAATGAAACATCATACACAGGACGGCATTGGGGGGTCTTCTATGTAACATTTTTTCCTACAGGGCTTCATTAAAAAGATGGGCATTGAAGTTTCAAAATAAAAAACAATTTGTTCAATATCTACAAAATCGTCAACTGAACTGAACTAAAATTTGGTATGTGGATTAACTTGAGTATTGACCACATCTTTACTTAAAATTAACGTGCACCAGTGGCGGAGATACAGGAGATTAGTAGCATTACTTTTCCAAATAAAAATAGTGCGCCACTGTTTTTTTACCATCAATTTGCTATAAATAATTACTCTTGTGTTTTTTCTAGAGTGCATTGTTTTTGTAAAAATAAAAATACAAATTATTATTATTATTTCAGTAAATGTTCAAAAAGACCATCATTCTGACGGGTACAAGTGCGGTACCTTTTTAATAAGAAAAACGTATTTCCGCAATTTGTTGTGGCTTGAATTTGACGAAACGCATTAACTATTCTTTTTTGTAACTGACTAACGGTATTAATTTGTTCAACATGCACTAGTTATTGAAAAGCGCCCCACAACAAGAAATCCAGAAGGTTCAAATCAGGAGACCTCACAGGCCAATGTCCGGGTCTGTTTCTGCCAATCCATCGTTGTCTAAAATGATTATTTAACCATGCGGTTATGTCACGAGGAACATGCAGTGAAGGACCGTCATGCTGATACCACATTCGTACGCTCGTTGCTAACGGAATATCATCTAACAAAGTTTCTATGTAATTCTCTAGAAAAGCTAAGTATGCAGTTGGCCATTGAAAATGCCGCACCACACATTTCTAGAAAATCTGTGTTGAACCGAATGGATTCTTACAGAACGAGGATTTGCTAACGACCAAATAATGTTCATTATGAGAATTAAAGGTTTCGCTCCTCGTAAAAAGCGATTCATCTGACCACAAAACCAAATCAACAAAATCTGCATTTTGATGATGCATTTGCAGTAACCAGTCACAAAAATTTCGACGTTACAGACATTGCACGTTTTGCCGATGGTAAGGATGTAAATCTCCCGATGTAAGATTCTCCACGCAAGACTTTGGGAACATGGTAACTGGGCTGCAATCCGCCTAGGATCATCCAACGCCAAATTAATCACTTCCAGTTCCTCTTGAACAGTATGCTGGACACCATGGCCTCTACCATAAGTCCGGGAAGTCCATATTGCCGAAGTCTCAGAAACGAACGCGTAAAAATCTTTGTGGCGTCTGTTAGGAAATCTACGTTGACACTCCCGACAAGCCGCTAAAGCATTTATACTACAGAGGCCATATACAAAAATAATATCGGCGTACTCATCGCTGCTAAATTCCATTTCACACTCAAAAATGGAAAAAATAAACGTTTGACTTGACCTAAAAAAAAAAATGGTAATAGTAACGATAACAACCGTATAACACATAACTTTGACAAACTATCTCCCAAGAAACGTCAAGCTGGTATCAAAGTCTCCTATATTTTGAAACTAATTGTATCTCGACTCTTCATGAATGATCTAATTTGTTTTATTTTTATTTTTACGAAAACAGTGCACTCTATGAAAAAGAAACAATATTATTAGTAGCAAATGCAAGGTAACATTCGAAAGATTGCAGATTTCGAAAAAAAAACAGTGGCGTACTATCTTTATTTTGAAAAATAATGCCACTAATCCCCTGTATCTCCGCCACTGGTGCACGTTAATTTTGAGTTAAGACTTTTGAATGTGGACAATACTTAGGTAAATCCACATACCAAATTTTAGTCCATTCCAGTTGACGATTTTGACGATATTTCATATGTTTCAGTTTTGGTAAGAACTTGTGAATCACCCTGTATATAATGATATCATCTGCCACATTTTCTTCAGAAGAGCATATAGAATGTGAATGGCTGAAGTATACAATCTTAACAATTATCCAGAACTCAAGCTCCGTCAAATTACCGTAATTTCACACAATAGTCCTGCCCCACAACTATGGTCTCAAAGCAGTATATTTTTAAAACATTTGTAAATCTTCATTTCGCTTTGACGCTTAGTATCGTATACATCAAGTACAAGGTGTTTGTTTACCTGCAAACTTTCGATGCTGCAGGTGGTAAGTACTTCGATTTTTTTAATTATTTTAGTTTAATAATATGAGTTATTGTATTATCTCGATATGCAACTAGTTATTTATTGAGTTTCTCGTGTTTTTTCTTCTCGAGCAAAAAAAATAAAAAATTAGATTTTGGTTTCAACTATGGTCCAACCTATTTTTTTGTACCATAATTGTGTTTATGAATGGGTTATATCCAGTTAACCTATTGAAGACTTTATTACCGTGTTTATACCTTTTATTATCACGAACTATTTTGTTTCAGTAGGTAGGCGATGGCACCGCCAAACAAAGTTTTACGGCGCAAAATAGGTGGCAGACCATGTACCCCGTACAGCACGGATGCAATGGAAAGATGTCTACATGACGTGTCACAAATCACATACTAACACAACGGGAAGCTTCAGAAAAGTTCAAGATACCTCGTAGTACGATAATACTGAAGCTAAAAGCTCATCGTGATATCAACGTACATGTTCCAGGTCGTAAATGTTTTTTTTTTCTCCAGAAGAAGAAAAATAATTCGTCGATAACGTTGTTCTACTGTGCGATTATGGATTTCCCCTAACTTTGTTTGATCTGAGGTGTGTGGTTAAGATGTATTTGGACAGCCGTGGTACCGCAATAAATGCATTCAAGCACAATTTTCCTGGAAGTCACTGGGCCCAGTGCTTTTTAGAGCGCCATAAAAAAGAACTTTCTCAAAGATTCCGCAGCAATATTAAAAGAGTTCGTACAGCTGTCAATGCAGAAATAATAAATAACTTCTTTGAGCATTTGGTATCTGAAATTAAAGATGTCCCCCCCCCCCCAGACTGTATCTATAATTATGATGAAACAAACTTGGTCGATGAGCCTGGAAAAAAGAGTTCTTTCAAAACGTGGCTGCAAATATCCAGAAGCTATTAAAAACTCGACCAAAGCAGTCCTAAGTCTTATGGTATGTGGCAATGCTGCTGGAGAGGTCTTGCCGCGCTATGTTAATCACAAAGCGGAAAAAATGTGGGATACCTGGACAACAGATGGTCCCTCAAATTCCCGATATAACCGTTCAAAATCTGGGTGGTTTGAAGGCAGTAGCTTTGAAGACTGTTTTTTTCCTTGGTTCTACCGAATTTAAAAAAGCAGAACGGAAAGAAAATTCTTATCCGAGACAACCTAAGTTCTCATATAAGTGTAAAGATCCTAACGGATTGCGAAGAGAACAATATCGCATTCATCGCTCTTCCTCCTAACTCAACACATCTTACACAGCCGTTGGATGTTGCATTCTTCAGACCTTTCAAGTGTCATTGGAGGCAAATTTTGGATTCCTGGAAAGCTACACCAGACGGTCAGAGAATGCCAATCATACCAAAGGATGTATTTCCCAATTTGTTTAATAAGCTATGGAAAAAATTCATGAAAACTGAAACTGAAAAAAAATTAAAGTAAGGTTTTATGAAAACCGGCATATTTCCCCTTTGTGCAACTAAAGTGTTAGAGCGTTTACCAGGTTATACTTGCACTGTCGTCGAAGAAAATACTGCCGTGCTTGTTTCGGATGCCTTTATACAATATAAGTTATGGAATCCTGTTGGTAACATAACTATGTGGTACAAGCCCATTATTCCAACAAATTGAATTGTATGGCAAGCAAGCCCATTAAGAAATATTTGCTTTTTACTTCTTTTTTTTTCGATACAGCTCTGTTATTTTTCCTATAAATACTAGAATTATATCGAGGCACAGGCAGATTTTGTTCAATACTTGTAACCACTCTTCATTCCTGCAATAAAGTCTGTTATTTTTTTTACCATACGACATGTGCATTCTTTATCTGGCGCTGCGAACATAATCGTTATACGCCTTCGTGGAAAACATCTGGAAGTTTGTACGAGCCCAGCCAACCATCAGTAAAATCTTCGAGATTCATCAGGTGAGCTGAACTACTTCCCTTCTGTGTGACCAACCATTGTGAGGTAGGAAGTATCCACTTCCGTAAGAGAAACGATTTGAGAACCTGAGAGCCACGTCCGAGGTCCCTGCAGAACGAGCCTAGAGAAACAGAGAGCTACAAGAACTAGAGCAGTCTCCGTTATGAAAAATTTGATTTTTCACATAACGCTAGAGTAAGCCAAATCCATTTTATCTATTTAGTCAAAGAAACTTTTGGTAAATCTCCAGTACGAGAACGATCACCCATTAGAAGACAACCAGTAAAAAACCAAGCTAACGTTAGAGAGGAATTCAGAACAACCATGGCTGACAATCCACAAATGTTATTTATCTTATTGAAAGATAGTGTGCCTATTTTTTCTGAAACATCAAATAATTTATCTGTATATTTACGTAAATCTAGAGAATTTGTTGCCGCTTTGCATGGCCCATATCAAATTCATGCTTTATCGTACGTAAAATCCAAACTACAAGGAGAACCTTCTGTTATCGTTGAACGAAATAATCCTCAAACTTGGCAAGAATTTGAAGAAGTTCTCAAAGAACGTTACAAAGATTCAAAATCAGAATTAATGCTACTTAATGAACTTAGAAATGTATCCCAGTACACAGACTATATGAATTTTCATACTGAAATTTTGCAAAAATACACATTCTTAGAGAATATGCTCTTTTGGAATTTTCTGATGTAGTTGCTTAATCTAGAGTCGACCTTTACACAGAAGCTGCACTAAATTCATTTGTAACTGGTATTAAAGAACCATATAAATCACTCTTATTTAACGCAACACCTACAACTCTTCAAGCTGCCTTACAAATTTGTCGAAAATACGATAATTTACAAATACAATCGCAATGCAAAGTATTTACTAAACAAAATGCCAAAAATACTAACGCCATTCAAAAACCGAAACCTACAAATACCGTTCAAAATACACCTATGTGGCGATTCCCTTCAAACCAACAATTTTACAATCCGCAATTTTACCAACAGCCACAACTATCTAACTTCCCAACTGGCCCGATTAACATCAGACCAAATTATTTTAATAATCAATTTCAAAGACAAATTCAACCACCACAGCCTAATTTCTATCCACAAAATAGACAAGGTCATCAACTATTACGAACCGCCCCTCGCAACAACAGAATCAATACCGTCCTAACTTTTTCTCAAATCACGGACCAAATTTTATCGCTGAAGAACTAACCAACACCGAAGCGACCGAACAATCACAAAACGAACAAGAATACGATGAACAGCAATACTATGATCCAAATTATGAAAATTATGACCAACAAGAATATGAAAATTCAGATAGTAACCCTACTGTCGAGTTTCCCCCTGAAGAGGCAACTTAAAATTTTCCGAAAGCCCCAAATCAACACCCATTGACTTAGATCTCAATAATTATGAGAACACACATTTGCCATACATTTATTTACAAAATTTAGATTTGCTAGTTCTTATAGACACTGGTGCATCTGTCTCTTTGATCAACACTCAAATTGCTTTCAATTATTTTCCAGATTACATTTATCCAAAACACTTTTCAATAAAATCTGTCATTGGTACTAAACACGGTGAATACGCTTTGCGAATTCCTTTGTTCAATGAACATGGCATTAACACTGAAATTGAATTTCTCATTTTAGACTGGCACGAACGTTTTGACTGTTTGCTAGGATATTATGATCTACAAAAATTTCAAGCTACTTTACAAACATCTAAGAATTTGCTATCCATTGATCGTTTAAACTTTATTTGCCACACTGACAAAATACCACGTAGAGTCCCGAACACTGTAATCAAAAATCAAGTTCTAAAATCCCCTATCAAAAATGGACAAATTATCGTTCCACCTATTAAATATCTAAATTCTAACGATTACACACCCGAAATGATTTGCACCGTTAATAATTACGAAGTATTATACCCAGAAAATCCAAATCTATTAGATTTAAACTATCAATGCATCAAATACGACAATTTGGATAATTACGACATTGAAACACCTCAGAATGAATATAATTTAAATGATATTGGAACTTTAATAAGAACTGATCACATGAATGACGAGGAAAAATACAAGATAACAGAACTTTGTAGAAAATTTCCTGAAGCTTTTCTAAAACCTAACGAAAAATTAGAGCCATGTACCGTAACATCTCATTCTATCAGAACAAAACACGATGACCCAATATTTGTAAAATCTTTTCGCTATCCAGTCTATTTAAAAACCGAAATTCAGAAACAAGTCGCTAAACTTTTGCAAGATGACATCATCCGTCCCAGTACAAGTCCGTACTCATCACCTGTATGGATCATAAATAAGAAGCCTGACACTTCCGGCGTTAAAAAATATCGCATGGTAATCGATTTTCGTACTAACTAAATGACATTACTATCGAAGATAAATATCCTTTGCCCCGAACTGAAGAAATATTAGAGAGTTTAGGCAAAGCCAAATATTTTTCAACGTTAGATCTGGCACAAGGATTCCATCAGATTCCTATGCACAAAGACTCAATTGAAAAGGCTGCCTTCACCGTCGACAACGGGCACTATGAATACTTACGAATGCCCTTCGGACTGAAAAACGCTCCAGCAACATTCCAAAGAATGATGAATTTTGTTTTAAAACCTTACATCGGAAAAATACGTTTCGTCTATTTAGATGACATAATAATTTTCTCAAAATCATTGCAAGACCACCTTATTCATTTGAAATCTATATTTCAAGCTTTAATTAAACATCAATTGAAAATACAACTTGACAAAACAGAGTTCCTAAGAACAGACGTTCCATTTCTGGGACATGTAATAACGCCAAACGGAATTAAACCAAATCCGGATAAAATCAGATGCATTCAAGATTTTCCAATACCAAAAACTATCAAACATATTCGATCATTTTTAGGATTAACAAACTATTACAGAAAATTTATTAAAGACCTTGCCAAAATTACCAAACCTTTCACTAAATGTTTAAAGAAAGACGAGAAAATCAACATTTCAGATCCTGATTACATTCAAGCGTTTGATGTAATAAGAAAGACTATCACTAATTCACCCGTACTCCAATATCCTGATTTTTCAAAAACGTTCACGTTAACAACCGACGCCTCAAATATTGCGATAGGAAGTGTTCTATCACAAGACGGAAGACCTATCAGTTTTCATTCAAGAATATTAAACTCTGCTGAACGAAATTATTCCACAATTGAAAAAGAACTCTTAGCCATTATTGATTCATGCAAACACTTTAGACCATATTTATTTGGACATAGATTTCTGATTGAGACTGATCATAAACCTTTGGTGTGATTATCAAATTTGAAAGAACCAAACCAGAGATTAATTAGATGGAAAATCAAACTTGAGGAATACGATTTCGAAATCAAATACAAAAAAGGCAAAACAAATTTAGTTGCTGACGCCTTAAGCCGAATCCAGATAAATGTTCAGGATTATCTCGAAACCGAATCAATGATCCCTAACGCACCCGAATCAGAAATGACTATTCACGAAACAGACAACAGATCAACTAACACGAGACACACTTCGCCTGAATCAAACCCAAACTCGATTCAATTTTCAGACAAAAACTTTTATGCCTATCCTCACCGAATTGAATTTATAACAGGTAAAAAGAAAAACAAGATCAAATTACTTCCGAATAAGACACTAATCAAATCACTTATGTTCCTAATTTATTTT